GGACAGTGTTCCCTTTTCCTCTACAGATTTCACGTCAGGGGCCAGGTTGAAGATCATGCCTGTGCTGTGATAACAAAGACGGGTGTTTTTGCTGAAAAGTGTCACGGTCAGAGTTACTGGATTTGTCAAAATGTGATTTCTTCAGATGAAGACCTCTAAATTGATCACAAGTATCTTTTTCATTAAAAAAAGTTCACTTTATTTATGTATTTTTGTAGAAACACTTTCTTTTTACAACAAATATATGGCGATAATGATGATAATGGTGTAGATTTGTGTCACTATAAATCCAGGCAGTCAACCTCAACTTAGTCCTTATCTGTACCTGGTCACTTACACTGTATTTCTGTAGTCATCTCCCATTCATGATAGCGGCTATTTCAGACAGAAACTATCCTTTTGTCACCTCAATAATTCTCTCTCTGAACCTCTCATTCACCATGAGCAGGGAAGCTTGTTTGTTTTCTTTTTTTTTAAAGAGAAGACATCAGATGATATATTCCTGAACTTTCTACCATTGAGTCTACACATTTGTCTGCATCTTACTTATTACTTTTTCCTCTCCTCCTTCCAAAAAAGCTGTATCCCTCTTCCTATCTAAATTAAATCTCTAAGCCTGTAGTCAGGACTGCATCTCTTTAAATTTTTTCAAGGAAATCCCTTCCTTGATTACCTCCCCTCTAACTTCTTTCTTCTTATGGTTCCTTTTTCTATCAGCAACTAAATGTGGTAGAGCAACAAGAAAACTTTCCCTCAACCACATGTGGCTTCTAGTTTCTGTCCATTTTTTTCCCCACCCCTTATAAGTCAAACTTCCTAAAAATTGTTCGCTTTTTCCTCTTTCTACCTACCACTTCAAGTTCTAAAATGTGACTTCTGTTTTTCCTACCATTTCACTCAAGTGTTCTTACCATGCCACCAATGACTTTCTTCTGGCAAAATACAATGAGAAGTTTTTANGCCAGCAGCTGCAGTGAGAGGCCGTCCAGAAGCTTGTCTGTTCCCCTTCCCCCAATTCCCCAGCACTGTTCCCATCCCCCAATTCCCCAATAAAAATCTTAAAAAAAAAAAAAAAGTATTGCCTTACCAGTTCTTTTGTGTTGTTGAACACAGCAAGAGTTGCTGCATGAGAGGCACAGAAGTTCTGGCTTGCTGCCCAGGTTGTTGTATTTTCAGAAAAATAGTAGCATTTTCCTAGGTAACCAATCCAGTCATCCAGGCATGATGGGTATTCAGTGGAAGATTTGTGTTTTTCTACTAAAAATGATTTAATAATATATTAGTTACTGAAGTGGTAAAAAGCCCTAAATTTAAAACAATTATCCATGTGAATGAAATCCACCAGAATTGCTTTGGTCCTTCAATCTGAAAGACTTCATTAATCACTCTTTACATTTTTCCCTAAGTGAGGACAACTCCTAGATTTTTGTGCTTATTTTCTTGCTAGGTTGAAAGAAATTCTTGATGAATGCCACTCATGTAGATAATATTGCTCAGATTCAAGGTTTGGTGCTCTTCTCAAGTGACATACTTCTCCTAGGTGATCACACTCATTCTCATGACATTAACTATGTATCTATAAGCTATATATGTATCCATACAGTATATGCACACATATACATTTATATACATATAGGCATATATAATCCTACATATACATATATTTAGGTATATTTTAATGCCTGGTTCACAGAATAAGGTTGATTAATAANACACACTTTACAATCTATGTTATTAAGTATGAAATAGCATTAGATACCATAAAAGCCATGAGTCATACAAAAAGATTCTTGACATTATTGCTCTATTATTAGAGAGGGCTAACACAATGAAGATATAACTCTTAAAACTATAACTTGAAAAAGCTAAGAAACATTACTATATTTTCCTACTTGATCTTGGACACTATTCAGTATTAGAAGTTTTGCAGATCCAATACTTCAGAGTATCATAGCATCTCTATCTTCTAAAAATTATGCATTAGTCTTAATTAACACTTCTGTAAATACATATGAATTAATTATTTATCTGAAGTTATACTATTGTTCTACTCTTATAGGCACAGATTTAGCTCTGTAACCAAACCTAAATGACCTTTAGACCTCACCTAAATCTTTTTTTTTTTAATTAAGAAATAAGTATTTATAGAAGAAAATTATTTTTTTCATTAAGCAAATAATTGCCTGGTTTTTGTGGCCATGTAATTTTCTCCTTTTGTTTCGTAAACTTATACCTGAGATCTCTGTAGCTCTGTATGAATTATTTCATAAATCCAGCCCAGACTTGCTCTCGGTCCCAGAACTGTATAACCTACTTCCTGCTAAACATTTCCACCTGGATTTCCTACAGACTACCGAAACTCAGTAATTCTTAAATATCCTTTTCTTTCTATAAAGAAAAAATAAAAAAGTATCGAGGCTAAACTTCCTTAGCATGAAGTATAATTTCTGCTAAATCTAGCCATGCTCTCCTTCCTTCCCTCCCCCATTCCTGTCCTCAACCCCAACTCTTACTGTTTCCCGTCTCACACCTCTCCTTCCAGTGCTTCCAGACTATTACAATTTCTCAGTTGTGAAACATTTGCTACCCTCACATCTGCTGGCAGTATTCTTCTTAATACTTTTCTCTACTTTAAAGTAGGAAAGCCCTGTCTGTATTTACTTGACAATTTATAAGCATTTTCTGTGGAAGAATTTTGCTGGGTACCTCTTTCTCAAATTTTGGACGCTTTCTTCCTTGTGTTACCACTGAACCTTTTCGTATACCACATGCATGTGTTTTTGCACTTCTTTCCCTGTTTGGTAATTAAATGTTGAAGGTCCATCTATCCAGACTCTGAACTAATTGTAGATTTAATGCTAAGTGCCTTGTCGTCATGTTATATTCTAGTTTTCAATAAAAACCGTTTTATTTACTCCTGATACAGGAGAACAATGGAGTAATAGTACAATACAGTCTGCAAAAATAAAGACCTTAAGAACAAGGCCCTGAGTTTTCTAAAGACCCATAAAATGGTCAGTTTTAATTAGAAAGAAAATGTCTTCTTTTAGCCTTTTACTGTCCTAGCACTTA